ATGCAACTTTATCAACTGCATACAGTGGAAAAACTTGCAACTGGGCAATGTCTTGGTGATCATATCAACAACATTATGATCTGTCGAAACCTTTAGCACTTAGGCTTCTCCATGCTTAATTACCCCTCTGACGAAATGCAGCCTCACATTAATGTGCTTGGTTCACTCATGATAGGCTAAATTCTTCGACAGATTTATTGTACTTTGACTATCACATTTAACAGTGATAACTCAACCTTGAAGTTTCAGCTCCTTTTCAAAACCTTCAAGCCACAATGCTTCCTTCATAACTTCAGTTAGGGCGATATATTCCGCTTCATTGGTTGATAAGGCAACGACCTTCTAAAGTGTAGCTTTCCAACTGATTGTTGTCCCAAACATAGTGAACACATATCCAGAAATAAATTTTCTGAAATCCATACAACCTGCATAATCAGAGTCGACATATCCTTCAATTTTTGCTTTGCTATCTTCACCCAAGGCTCCACCATAAATTAGATCTCTATTCAGAGATCCATTTATGTACCTTAGAATCTACTTCAATGTTTGCCAGTGAGCCTTTATAAGATTCTCCATGTACCTGCTTACAAGACTTACTGCATATGCTATGTCGGGTCTAGTACATACCATAACATACATCAAAGAACCCAATATGTTAGTATATGGAATGTTATTCATATAAGTTCTTTCGACATCAGTGTTGGGACACTGATTTATACTAAGCTTGAATTGAGGGTTCGTCGAAGTCACAACAGGCTTTGAATTCGACATACCAAACTTTTCGAGAATCTTTCATAGGTATGCCTCTTAAGATAAGCATAATTTTGACTACTCTCTATCTCTTCGGATGTCAATTCCAAGAATCATGGACGCAACTCCCAGATCCTTCTTGTTGAACTCCTTATTGAGTTCATCCTTCACCCTAATTATATCTTCGACATTGTTGTTTTCTATTAGAACACCATCAACATAAAGCAACAAAATAACAAATGAATTACCAAATCAAAATTTGAAGTAAACATAGTGATCAAATTGACTTCTAATGAAACTTATGCGTGCCATAAACTTTTCGAATCTTCTATTCCACTGTCAAGGAGATTGTTTCTTACCATATAAAGATCTATTCAGCTTGCACATATAATCTTCCTTCCCTTTTTCGACATACCCTTCAGTTTGCCTCATAAGGATTGTTTCATCTAGATCACCATACAAGAACGTAGTCTTCACATCCATCTGTTCCAGTTCAAGGTCGAACTGTGCCACTGTGGCAAGCAACATTCAAATGGATATATGCTTCACAACAGGAGAGAACACATCATTGAAGTCGACACCTTCTTTCTGAGTGAACCCCTAACAACCAATCTTGCCTTGTATCTCTTCGGCGCCACTTCTTCGATTCCTTTCTTAACTTTGAAAATCCATTTACAGTTGACTAACCTGGCTCTAGCAGGTTTCTTGATTAGTTCTCAAGTATTGTTATCACGACGAGATATCATCTCATCATCTATGGCCTTCATCCATTCAGTCTTCTTTCGACTCCTCATAACTTCTTTATAGTCTCTAGGTTCTTCGTCTAGAACCTCACTTGCAGAGATTAAGGCATAAGCTATAAGATCCGCATACCCAAGTCTCTGAGGTAGCTTGATGGCTCTCTTTGACCTGTCTCTTGTTAGCAGGTAGTCATTATCAGTTTCCTCATCTTCGATAACATTTTCTGTGTCTTCTTTGACTTTATTTGGCACGCAACTCAACATTAACATGCTCCACCTAAACAAGAATCTCTCCCTGTTCCAGCTCTTCGTCAGCATCATCATTTTTCTTGAAAGCCATCTCTGCTTCATTGAAAACTACATCTCGACTGGTGACCCGCCTCCTGTGACCTGGCTCTAGGCTCCATAGCCTATAAGCTTTGACTCCTTCAGGGTATCCCATGAACATGCATTTCAGAGCTCTAGGTTCGACCTTGTCTTGCCTAATATGAGCATAGGCCACACAACCAAATACTCTCAGTCTGTCGAGACTAGGTGGATATCCCCACCATACTTCTTCAGGTGTCTTCATTCCCAAGGCAGTCGAGGGACATCTATTTATCAAGTAAGCTACTGTCGAAACAACCTCCGTGTAAAGCACCTTCTTCAATCCAACACTAACCAACATGCATCTAACCCTTTCAAGGATTGTTCGATTGAATCTCTTAGCTAATCCATTTTTTGAGGAGTACTTACTATAGTCTTATGCCTTGCAATCCCAGACGAAACACAATAACTGTCGAACGCTTCGTTGCATAATTCAAGGCCATTGTTGGTTCTCAACCTCTTAACCTTTCTGCCAGTTTGAGTTTCGACCGGAATCTTCCAACTTTCAAAATTCTCAAAAGTTTCATCCTTCGTCTTCTGAATAAATACCCATTGCTTTCTGGAATAGTCATCAATAATGGATAGAAAATACCTTGCACCTGAGTATGAAGGATTCCTTGCAGGCCCCTAAAGATCAACATGAATGTAATCCAGGGATCCATGTGTTCTTTGCTTGCCTTTGTTAAACTTCGCCCTACAGGATTTACCAAATACACAAGATTCACAAAACTCCAACTTTTCGACTTTGTCACCTTCTAGCAGGTTCTGCTTCCCCAATTCGACCAGACCTCTTTCGCTGACATAGCCCAATCTCATGTGCTATAATTCTGTCTTCGACACAGGTTTCGTGGCTGCAACATTTGTCGAACCACTTTCAAGATCAAGAATCAGCTTGTTGAACATATCCAACTGCTCAGCCAACACTTTGTCTTCACTCATCTTGAATGAATACAAAACTTGCTTCAGGTAGAGTCGATTCACCAGAGATTTGGTCATGTACAAACTTTAAAGTTTCACCCATAATCTCGATGCTGTAGTCTCCTTTGATACCTCTCGAAGAACCTTATCTCCAAGCCTCAACAATATTGCGCTGTGGGTTTCTCAATCATGCCCGTCTTTTCTTTTGCCGTTAACATAACGTCCATGTTTGTAATTCTCTAAATGTTAACCATTTGAAAATATGAATTAAAAATTAACAATGTTAGCATATTAAAAAACAAATAATAGATGAATGTTACAATGTTAGCATATAAAAGATAAATAATAAATGAATGTATATAACATACTCTATATATCTTAAAAATATTTTGGTCCACTTCAGAACTTTATAAGCAGTTCAAATAATAAACCAAGGGATATCTAGCAAAGAGGTCCGCGCGTCGTATTTTTCTCTTCTCTGCGGAAACCCTCGATCGTGTTTCGCTCTTCAACAACTAGGGTTCCTCCTCGACTCTTACGCTCTACTCTATCTAACTCGTGAGTTCCGTTAACGTTCTTCCACTTTTAGGGTTTTCCTTCCATTATTATTGGAATTCCGAGAATTTAAAGCATTGTTTATGTTGTGCCTGTTGCAATTTGATTTCTGTTTTCCATCACTATTTGAATTGTCATTGTAGAAACGTGATCGAGGAACATTTAATTTGTATTTCAATTGCAATTCCAATATTAGGCATATGAATCTCAATGCTGTTCCTGTAGAACTAATATTAGGTATAGGATTGGAACCTCTGTCATGACTAGTTACCGGGTACCTTTCTTTACCGTCGTCTTTTGCTATTGATTTTGTGTTGTCCAGAGGATTTTCCTTTGTTGTTGTTGTAAATTGTTAGAACATATAATCTTCACTAGGCCGTAGTTAAGTAACCGTAAGAGAAAGTAGGCGATACTAACTTAGAGAACTTGAAGCTCCTTTAATGATTTGTGTGAGAAAATGTGATTGGGGAGGTGGTTATCGGATTCTTTACAGTGGTGTTATGTTTGATGGTACCAAATTTGTATGAAGAAAAGAATAATTTTTCTTTTCAATCCCTTGTTTTCTTAGGACTAAATTAATAGTTTTGTTACTTTTCAGGGGTTTTGTAATGTCATACACTGTTTTTATTTTTCATTATTTTCTTTTACTTTAGTGCTACCTATTGGATGTGGTATGTGTTCTTCTAATGAACTAAGTTCCCTTACTGTTGGATAAATACTATTCATAGATTTTCAGTTTCTATTAGAAAGTAAACTGAAAAATCCTATCATAGATGCATTGCAACAATCAAAACCAATAATATGCCTGACTAATAAAGAGTAAATATTATTAGGATTTGAATGTTGGATTCCTCTTGTTTAGATATAGTGGTCTAACTTGTACTAGTTGCATATGTTTACGATTGTCTGTACATTGCATTTTTCCTAAAGCTAATAACACAAGTTAAAACTCGTTCATCAATTCCTAGAATATAGGTCATCTTACCTATTTCCTGGTTTTGAAAATTAATTTATTTTGGTATTTATAAAAAGCTAGTTCTTTTATTTTAATGAAATGATTACCTTGTTTTGACTAATTATATTATGTTTCTATTTTTTTAATCAGACTACCTGGTTTTATTTTCAAATTGTTTTTTGGGTTTTAAACACCCGAAATTGATTTTTAAAACTGGAATTTGTAGGCTGGAACTAGTTTTAAAACCGGTTATGAAATCTTAAACTGGTTTTAAAACTAGTGATAGATATAATTGGTTTTGCAGAATCAAATCTGGTTACGTGGATTGGTTTTAAAATCCATATACGACTAATGGTTTTTATATGGAGGCAGATTGTTTATATGAATATATTTCTATCCATGAACAATTCTACCTTCAAAGGGACCTATATACATGACTAGATATCATAATATTGCAATATCTTGAAGTCATTCTGCCTGATAGAATATTTTGGGTTTGAAGTCTTGCCCATTTATATTTATCAATAAATTATTGACTTGTTGTCAAATAAATGAATGTGCTATGACACTGATTTTGATGTTTGCTGCCTTACGTTTTCAGTTTCAATTGGCTTTCTAGTTGTTATCATTTGTTTTATTTTCCAGCCGCAGTGTATAGTCTATTCAGTTCTGGATGTTGATTCCTAATTTGGTTTTGTTGGATGACAGTGATACAAATGAGTGTTGTGACAGATTCTCCTGTACATTCTTCTGGCAGTGATGACTTTGCTGCTTATCTCAACGAAGCACTTGATGAAAATTCATCCAGCTCATCCTCAGATGAAGAAGCTGAAGGCAAAAATGAGTTTGAGGATGTCAGGTGCTCTTCATAACCCATTTCATATTACATGAATCATGACATTAGTTAAGTTGTTTTCAGGTGTGGTTTTACGTATTTGAAATTTGTTAGGTATAATTCACATATCAGGTTATAGTATCAGGTTATGATTTATTAAGGATTAAACATTGTTTAGATACAGCATATTCTGTTGCTTATTCAAATGGATGTATCTGAAAATTTGGTTTTTGATAAAGTGTAACGGTAATACGGTGTTTGGTCAATCAATATAGCTGACCCTGTTCAGTACAAAAAAGTTGGTTGTGTTTGCGGGGTGTTGTGGTTTGGATATATATAATGTATGATTGAACCCGTGTTGTCAATTGCGGACAGGGGATCGTTAGAATTCCGCTATGCAATATATGCTATGGCGGCTATTTGACAACATTTTGTACTAAATAGCATATCGCGGAACAATAACGGATTTTCCAATTTCCACTACACTATAGTGGTATAGTGCCGCTATATTGGCTATTTAACAACATTAGATATAACACTATTGCGTTGTTTGGTCCATGTAGCAGACCTCAGCTAGTAGGATAAGCTTTGATTGTTGTAGGGTGTTATGGTGGTTCAGACTTTATTATAGCTTAGTGAGAGTCTCACTAGCTTACATAGTACTGTTTTTAAGTTATTTCTTTTTTCATTGATCATTATAATTTTTTCTTTTAATGTTTTAGGAGTGGTTCTTGTTTCTCAAAACTCATGAAAGATTGTAGTGCAATATTTTAACTTTTAATTACATCTAGGGCATTGCTTATACTATAGATAAATGCATGCTGAAGTGAGGACCTTGGTACGAGATCCTTCATCCTTGCAGTGTCCTTTCCCCCATTGATTATATTACAGAATGCATATTACTGCCAGTTATACCTTTCTTATAAACTAGCCAATTGGAAGTGTTTTTATTTATGTTTTGCTTTTTAAGTATTGACACTATTGTATGAAACCAATTTTTTTGGTGTGTGGAAATGTGTTGTGTGGGACTAAATGTTGGGAGTTAGGAGTTCACTCTGTCAGAGATAAGAGTGTTATGGTGAAGGACTGATCATTGAAGATAGGTCCGGGAATAAAATCTTTGAAGAGAAAGTTGTGCTCATTCCATTCAATAAAAAAGAATAAAGTGTCATCTTAAGTGGTTTGGGGATATGTGCTGCAGAAGTATCAATAAGAGACATTTTTGTAGCAGAGTGAAATAGTTAAAAATGGTAAAGGGATACAAAAGAAAGAATGGAGAAACAGGGGTCTATGATCCATCTAGACTCAAATAACCTAGTGTTAGACAGGGTCCATGATAGTTTTTTTTTTGTATCACTTGATCCATTCAGTTCAGTCTATTGGGAAAGGGCTTTCACTTTTGTTGTTTTTGTCAAATTGTGAACCAATTAAGTTTAAAGCTTTAAGAGATACGGGTTATTTGGTTACTATTTTTTGTGTCACATAATTATGCATTTTTTCTTCTTGTTTCATGTTTTAGATCAAATTTTGCTGTGCTTACACTTCAATTTACGAATTAAAGCAGAAATAAAAGACGTAAGTTTGAAAGCACCGAAGAAACTGAGGGGTCTACTTCAGAAGGAATTGTGAAACACGAATTAGGTAATTTTGATTGTTTTAGTTGTTTGTTTCATTATCTTTTGCTAGGAACCGGAATTCATCCCGCCGCATGTGCATATATATTTTAATTGTTTTTTTCGTTAACAGTTTTTAGAGTAAGCAAACGATATTAAATTTTAAGAAGGGATGTGATAATGCCTGTTATGTTAGTTAATCGGCATTTAATGTTCTCTTGAACTATTTTATTTGTAAAAACCTAAGCCCATTAGACGGGCATTGTTATATGTATTTGCCTATTTTCCTTACCTCTCTTACTCTTAACCAAGAAACCAAATTGACTGTTTATTCACTGATTTTGTCAGCTAATGAACTAATGATATGTACACAACTATATTATGCACAATCTTTTCACATCTTTGTGAAAATGTGATTGTGAATTTTTTAATCTTATAACTTACCATTTTGTTCTGAAAGTGTTGTAACACCTCGAGTCTTTCAGTTTTTGCAGAGTCATCCGTGAAGGTAAATGTTTGTACACATCCTGGCTCATTTGGAGACATGTGTATATGTTGTGGGCAAAAGTTGGATGAAGAATCTGGTGTGACATTTGGGTACATACACAAGGTATACATTGTTTTGAATGATTATTTTCTGAAATTAATAATCAGATTTGGATAGTTTTTGCTGCCCCATGTTGCTGTTTTTGAATGACTGTTAGATCGGCTGAGTGGTTGTTATCAATCATAACAAACAAGTGTAGACTGTTGTGGCAACTGAAAGCCTCTAGCACCATTCATTTGGGATATCTGCACTTCTATTGTGCTAGGGCACTCACTAGAAGTATACATATGATAGTTTCTATGCACCAGCACTACCAGAGTCTGATCATGTGATTTTTCTGAGTTTTATACACATCATAATATATCCTGCTTTCTTTAATATATACATTTTATATTCATTCTTATGATTCGGTTAGCATGATGGTTGGACTGGTAGTGAAAAGTTTGTAAGCAAAATCTAGTTAGTCTATGTATTTTAGCTTGCAATAGTTTCTTAAACATGATGGAAAATTTTGTATTTGCAGGGACTGAGACTTCACGATGAGGAAATTTCTAGACTGCGTAATACAGACATGAAGAAATTTTTATACAGTAAAAAACTTTACTTGGTTCTTGACCTAGATCACACACTGTTAAATACCACCATCCTTAATCATTTGAGCCCAGAAGAGTCGCATTTAATTAACGAGACAGATTCTCTAGAAGGTATATGCCAACCAATGTGTTTTTCATTTTGGCAATTGACATCATTATTTTATATTAGTTCTGCTTAATGCATTTCTTCATATTCGTTGCTTTTTTCACATACCAATTATAACTATGTCTCATTATAAAACATGAGACGTGTATTCAGCATAGATGTTGGACATATTCTAGTTCTGATGCATTGTCGTTCAATCATTTGTTATTGAAATGTTGGCATTATATCCTTTTCTTGATTTGTCTGTGTATGCATATACTGTAGTAAGTAAAAGTGTGTTAGAGGAACAAATTAGTATTTTCTATAATTTTAGAGTGGTGTTTGACTGTTTGTTGAATGCTTTTAGAAAGCTTGCAACAGGCTTCATGCATTTTGTTTACGACACTTATGAAAATTTTGCCAAATAAGCATTTGCTCAAGTTTCTATGATTGCTAAAAGATAAAGATATTAGTATGTCATTATGCAATTACAAGTATCATGCTGCTCATCACATAGACTATGCATAAATCATATACAGAGTAGAGTGATGTTGTGGTAAAAATAGCATCTCATACTTTGATTATAATTTTTAAATAGATTGACATGATAACTCAAATTCTTGCATTTTAGGAAAATTAGGATCTTTTCAACTCGTATACTTCATCTGATCATGTGTGTATTCTCATTCTGACATTTTTTTTACGACTTTGTATTATGAAACAATAGACGTCTCCAAAGGTAGCCTCTTTAAATTGGAGCATATGAATATGATGACCAAGTTGAGGCCCTTTGTCCGTACATTTCTTAAAGAAGCAAGTGAAATGTTTGAGATGTACATCTACACCATGGGCGATAGGCCATATGCGTTGGAGATGGCCAAGCTCCTTGATCCTCAAGGAAAATACTTCATTGCTAAAGTGATTTCTCGAGATGATGGGACTCAAAAGCATCAAAAGGGTCTTGATATTGTTTTTGGGCAAGAAAGTGCTGTCTTAATTCTCGATGATACAGAACATGTAAGTTCACTTAAAGTTTCTGACTTTTTTGCCGAATTTCTTAATTTTAAACACGACTGAGACAACTGTATAATGTAAATTAAGATTGTCTATAATTATGTGATGTAATCAATTTTTCTTGCATTTGCATTTGATGTTTGCAAGAACTAAAGAGTGCTAGAATGTGTTTAAGATTATCCATTTAATGTTTCAAATGTTATGGTTTGTCATTTATGAACTAAAATAACCTTCTCTAAATGAGATGTAATTTAATGTAATGTAATATATTGTTGCTAAGAAATGTTGTAGGCATGGATGAATCATAAAAACAATCTGATACTTATGGAAAGATACCATTTTTTCGCTTCAAGTTGTCGGCAATTTGGCTTCAATTGCAAATCTCTTGCTGAAACGAAGAGCGATGAGAATGAAATAGATGGAGCACTTGCGAAAATACTTGATGTGCTTAAGCAAATCCATAGCACATTCTTTGATGTGAGTCCCTTCTTATTATCATCTCATGACTTTGTAAAAGAGTCTGTTGTTTTAGATATGTTGCTAAAGTTGTGGTATAAATTTTTTTGTAGAAACTTCAAGGAGATCTTGTTGATCGAGATGTGAGGCAGGTAGTTATCTTGCTGATATGTCTTTTATAGTTTTAGCACTTTGAAATGGAAATATTTAGCTAATCTATCCTCCTAGTTTGAGATTCTAACAATGTGGTTCCTGCAATCTAGGTTTTGTCATCACTTCGAGGTGAAATCTTAAGTGGATGTGTGATCATTTTCAGTCGTATTAATCATGGTGCATTGCCAACTCTCCAGAGAGTTGCACAGAAAATGGGAGCTACCTGCTTGACAGAACTTGACCCCACAGTGACACATGTGGTTGCTACTGATGCTGGAACTGAGAAGTCAAGATGGGCAGTTAGGGAAAAGAAGTTTTTGGTTCATCCTCGATGGATAGAGGCAGCAAATTACTTTTGGCAAAAACAACCGGAGGAGAATTTTGGTCTAAAAAAGACCACCAACAACTCTTAGTATAGCACTGATCTATCTATCTATTGGCAATGAATCAAAAACTTCTCTTTAACTTCTTATTTTGGTAGAAGCAAAATGAGAATTTTTTCTTTGATGAATCAAAAACTTCTCTCTTTTGAACTTCTTATTTTGGTAGAAGCAAAATGAGAACTTTCCCTTGTTCCAACACAAGCTTAGGCTTTTTATGATAATTTTGTAGTTTATGAAACCAAAGAACTTGGAAGGTTACAATGCTACTGCAATTATAACATGTACAGTTTTTATTGGTTCTCATTATTTTGTTGTATTAACTGCATGTTGTAACAAAGTGCTAATGGTGCATGAAAACACCAATTGATTTTGGCGTATGAATAAAAATATTGGATGACTTGAATTCAGACTTTCATTTGAAAAATGTTTAGATCAACTTGCTTTCAGGTGGGCGGTTAAAATGTAACATTGATGCATCCTTTTTAAATAATAAAGTTGAAATAGGTATTTGTATTAGAGATGATGAAGGGGTGTTTGTTGTTGCCCGGACAATGTGGTTCTCGCTTATTATTGAAGTAGATGTGGGTGAAGTGTTAGGTCTTTTATACTCAATCAAACGGCGGGTTCATGAGTTAGGCATGAATAAAGTGAATTTTGAGTTAGATGCTAAAAAGTGTAGTGGATAGTGTGTACATCTAGAATTTTAATGATTTGGATTTCGGTGCTATTATTAAGGAGTGTAAGTGTTTGTTAGCCCTTCTCTATAGGAATTCTCATGTTAAGTTTGTTAGGAGACAAGTCAATGAGGTTGCTCACGTTTTGGTGCGGGTGACTTCATATCTTGCTAGTTTTTAAATTTTTAATGATGTTACAACATGTATCTAAAATCAATAAGGTTGCTCACGGTTTGGTGCAGGTGACTTCATATCTTGCTAGTTTTTAAAATTTTAATGATGTTACAACATGTATCTAAAATCATATTATTAATGAAATGTTATAAGTGTTTTCTGTAAAAAAAATTTACTTTAAAATTAAATGATTTAAAATCGAAAAATGATGGAATTTCAATAACTTAATAAAACACATTAATTTTGTAAGGAAGAAATATAAAAATGTTTTGAAATTAAATTGGCAGAAATATCTCGATGCTCCAAGAACGAGCACTCACGTCCAAAGAAATTAATCTGTGATCCCCCAATTTGTATGGAAAGATAAAATTGTTTATGTAAAATATTTTTAAAAAATTTCAAAATTTACAGTATTAGGACTGAAATTTCAAATATTTGGGGCGATATTGGAAATTTCAAGTGAACTACTGAAAATTTAGCGAACAGTGAGTTTTTCCACGGAAATTACAGAATTTATGGTATTTTGTATCAGAAATTTTGAAATTTTCGATATTTACTACTTGAAATTTCATAATTTTTGGTATTTTCTATCAGAAATTTTAAAATTTTTAATACAAAACCCATTTTTTTATCAGAAATTTCAAAATTTTTGGTAGTTATAAAAATCTAGTTTTGAACCGGAATTTTTGAAATTCACGGTAGTTATAAAAATCTAGTTTTATATCGTAAATTTTAAAATTTCCGATAGTTATAAAAATCTAATTTTATACTAGAAATTTTAAAATTTCCGATAGTTCCCATTATTATTATTATTTTTTCAATATTTATTTTTTCCTTCTTTTGCAATGAAAACTAGAGGCAGAGACAACACTATTGCAGGGAGAGCTGTTGATCGAGCAGCATACTAGGGTAGGGCTGACAGGGGTGCTGTTGACGAGTCTTCCCAGCTACGGGCAAGACGAGTGATCCCAACCAGTTCACACCGAAAGCGATTGACTGAACGAGGTCATTTTCGGGCACCTCGTTCCATTCGACGCTGACCAGTTTGATTAGTAGAGTAAACTACAAATGAGGTGCTGCCAGATATTCCTATATCTGATCCCGTTGGTGAGCTGGTAGTTGATCCAGTTATTACTCAAGAGGTTGCTCAGGAGGTTGTTGAGAATGTTGGTTCGGAGGAGGTTGCTCGGGTGGTACAACCATATGCTGCTGTTGGTGAGTCGGGACCATCAAATACTGCTAACACAAAGGTTACGACTCCTTTGACTGAGCCCTCTGTGCACACTAATGGAAGATTCCCAAGAGGACCCATCGACTGGTCGGTGCTTACAGAGCATGCTGAGCATGCGGCCTTACGATTATGACAAGGTGAGGTATATGTCTTTTATGTTTAACTTTGTTTTTTTATACATGTATGTCACATGAGATATCAACTAACTTGTTTATAAGTTTTTGTCACAAGAGAGACCCGCACTTAAGGTAACACTGCACGAGTTGAAGATGAAGGACTTCTCGAAGATTCCGATGCCTGAGCAGGCCAGCCGGATTATACGGGGCTTCCAGCTGCTTGATTTTGCCCACTGCTCCCTCACCATGGTGGATGCTCAATTACTTAGTGCCTTTGGTGAGATGTGGCACAAGGAGACATCATCATTTCATCTTCCGTTCGGGGAGATGACTGTCATTTTGGATGATTTCTCCGTATTGTTTCATCTCCCTACTGGTGACAGATTCTGGATGGCTCTCGTTCTTAGCGTGACTCATGCATGTCAAGTTGTGGCACATGATTTGAGTTTGTTTGAGGCGGAGGTGCTGAAGAAGTTTGGTGAGTCCAGGGGTGCACACCTTCGTATGCATTGGCTTCAGAAGATATACAATTAACTTGTAGATGCTGGGAGGTATGAGACTGTCGCTAGGGCGTACATGCTACATATAGTAGCTTGTGCTCTATTTGCGGATAAGTCTGGTACTTAAATTGATACCCAATACTTGTGCCTATTTAGTAGCCTCGAGGATACCAACTGGTCTTGGGGGTGAGCTGCATTGACCCAATTGTATACAACTCTTAGAGTGACGACGATTTTTGAGACCAAACAACTTGCTGGCTATTTGAGTCTTTTGCAATTATACTTGAACTTATTATATGTTGTTGCTTTCATATTTATTTTTTATGAATAACATTTCTAAATTATTATTTATTGTGTCTGTGTTTTAATTTCAGTGCTAGATATACGAGCATTTCCCTACTATTTGTGACAGGAGGATGCAACATTGTAAGGTGGGGGCCCCATGGGCGAAGAGGTGGAAGACAAAACAGTCACATCATGTTGGTGTTGCTGAGTATAGGAGAAAACTTAATCCCCTGACTGTAGATGATGTCATCTGAACATCATATCCTGATCATAGAGTCCATTGTGAGTTCGAGGAGTCACCATTATATTCAGGTTATATGCGGTATGAGACCATGGTTGCTAGGCACTTGCTTGAGAGGTGTCTGCGACAATATGACTATGTTCAGAGTATCCCACGACCAGTTCAAGATATTCCAACTTCAAGGATTGACTGGTGGTTTTAGAGTAACTTCATCAACTCTGGTCGTGCCATCAAAGATCGAGCAGTAACTGTTCATCACCCCTCGCAGTGTGAGGATGGTTACCTAGAGTGGTACCTCATTGTATCACACCCTCACATCACCCCACCTACAGCTAATGCCTAGCCTTCTGATAATCGGGTACCTGTTGATGACGTGCCGCTGTCGCCTCCTCCAGCAGATCACGCTGATGACTAGCAGCGCCTCAGAATGATTGCAATTATTATGGATAACCTCATGGGTTTGGTAAACTCAGATGGTGATGCTTATACTAGATTAGCTAGGGTTGCACACATAGTCCGTGGGGGGCTTATTTAGATATATTTTGTATTATTTGTATATTATTCAAACATCTTCATCATAATACTTTATTAGCTAATATTATTGATCTTCCATAAATTGTAGTGTGAACGTTAACTAACATTTAACAATGGATTACATAACTTAAACAGAAAAAACTTAACACTACAATATGATTAATAAATAAGAAAAACCTAAATACTATCAGACACTTTAGGACGTTTCAACATCTCCATTATGTCGTCAATGGATCTTGAAAGCTTAGCATCTAACTAGATCGACCCTTTTGTGATCCTACGACGAAATGATCTCCATATTTCCTTCACATCTTCGTCGGTCTTCAACTCAATAAGATTGTATTTCACCCTCCCATTAGTATCAACCGAATCTTCACGAAACTCGATCTTTCTCACCTTTCTGTTTTCGCCACCAGAAAACAATTCATTCAACTTTGATGTCAGGCAGGCAAGAGATGTGGTGCCATCGGGAAGCCGAAACTCTACAAGAGGAGAAGCTTCATTGAAGTACACTTCTGCCTTAATCAAAAATTGAGGAAGAGGCATTTTTCGAGATGTGTTTATCATCAACATATGACCCATATTTATACAACTTTGTATCTATTCTGGACCACACAAACTGTCGGTGCAATCACAACCATAAAAAACTGTCGGCAAAATCTTGATCATCCAAAAAATCTAACAAATGAAACTACCAGAAATTTCACTTAGGTTGAAATTTCCGGTATGACCACGAAAATTTGAAATTTCCGTAACAATTTGCACATTATCGAAAATTCCTAAATTTTCAGTACACCAGAAATTTCAAATGACTTATCGTAAATTTCACTATGTACCAAAAATTTCATTATAACTACCAAAAATTTCATACGGAAATTTGATGTATTTTTCACCCAGGGCAGTTTTGGAATTATGAAATATTGGGAGGTGCCAGGTTTTATTTGAGGAGTGACAGGTTAAATTCTCCCACATCCATCATACTTATTTGAGTTCTTTAAATGAAACCCGTTCAATATTTTATATTATTTTACACTTATCAATTATTTAAGCTCATTTACATTTTTGGGTTAAATATGTTTTTAGTCCCTATAAATATGGCACCTTTCAAGTTTAGTCCCTACAAATTTTTTCTTCAAACTTTGGCCCTCATAAAGTTTACCTCTCACAATATGCCCCCCGTAAGTTTTCACTAATGGAAGCGTATGTGTCATGCCACATGTAATTGCAACTTTGATTACGTGTGATCTGTTTTATTTCAATTCGCCAGCGTGGAAA